CTGGTATCAGAGCATGTTTGCATTTAGGTGCCTATTAGAAAATTTTTTGTACATGATTAGCATCTAAATCACATCCTGCGCGCATTAAAATTTACTTGCATATTATCATATTATTTTTCTTTCACATCTGTATAGTTCTGAATCACTCTTAGACATAGGATGGACCCAAAACAAATTCACGAGACTTTAGATCTGTTGGTAGGTCAAATGAACACGATCAGTCAACAACTTAGAAAAAATCAAGCTGACCTACCCAAGCTCTGTCGCCAAACAACGTAATGATTTGACACACTAGATCGAGTTAGGAATCACCATACACCTTACACACCTTCTAAGCCTCCTTCCATGTATGGGGAAGACATCTTACTGAATGAGGGACACCCCCCATGCCCCTTATCAAGCTCCCCAGTATGATCATGACCTTAATAACGATCCTGATACACCCCTGTTGAAAAAAATTAAGCTCGATGCCCCAACCTTTGACGATACTCTCGATCCCCAGCTCTTTCTGGACTGGATCAAGGGTATGGATAGTTGTTACTTTCTTTAAACATATCTGAGGCTAGAAATGTTAGATTTGCTGAAATGAAACTCACGGGTAGGGCTAGTCAATATTGGGCCAACCTAGAAAGTCTTAAGGAATCCTGCAACAAGTATCCCATCACTAATTGGCCTTCAATGAAACGTGAGCTAAAACAAAAGTATTTGCCTCCCTCGTATTTCCCTAAACTCCTAGATATGTGGAATAGGTTGACCCAAGGCAATAAACCGGTAAAGTAATATATTGTAACCTTTGACGATTACCTAATTCGCTGCAAGGGTGAGACCTCTACTACACCCGTGCAAATTATGTCCATGTTTCGTATCGGGTTGCGCGAGGACCTGCGCAACAAACTGTTTACCAGTAGTGTCACTACTCTTGAAAATACGTACAGCTTAGTCTTAGACCAAGAGAAGACCCGTCCCCAACACCCTAGTCGACACCAAGATTCTAGACCCTTCTACAAACCTTGCAGTGGATCGGCCACTCATCACTCCATTTCCCAGTCGACTCCAAGTAACACTAACCAACCATCTTTTGGTCCTTCTACACCCCGTCCTGACTTTAGGGGCAAGCCTCCAACCCCTAATACTCCTACATCACACCCAGGGACCAAGTGTTTTTGATGCCAGGGGTATGGGTGAATCTCTTCCCAGTGTTCTAGCCCTTATAAAATCACCATTATTGAGGAGATCACTAAAGATGAGCTTGAACCCGAGGCTGACCAAATTCACCAAGTTAAAGATAATGGTGAATTTTTGAGGAGGATGATTACAATGCTGTCATCCACAGTATACAAAAAGTAGACACTTCTCTCATATGCGAGGTGAGATATGCAATGTCACACAACTTATTGCCATTGATGATTGGCGTAAGACTTCACTCTTTCACACCTACACCAAAATTAAAGATAAAAACTGTAAAGTCATAGTGGATAATGTCAATTGCATCAATGATATCTCCTCCGACATGATGTCTAAACTTAGTATATATGTCGTTCCTCACCCTAAACCCAACAAGGTAGCTTGAGTCAACGCCACTGCCTTAGAGGTGAAAGAACGAAGTCTCATACCCATCTCATTCGCTGACTATAAGGAGAATGTGTGGTGTGATGTTCTGGTGATGGATGTTGGACAAATCATCCTAGTGCGTCCTTAGCTCTTTCATAATGATGTTCACATTTATGGGCGTTCAAACACCTGTAAGTGTCACACTTATCATTTGACCAAACAACGAAAATAAAACACAGGTCATTACACCCCTTTACCAGTTCTCAGTTGTCCATGACAAGATGTCAGCATGGACTTCGTCCTAGGTTTACCCAAGATGTTTCGTATGAATGATGTCATATGTGTCGTAGCTGACCGCTACTCCAAGATGGCACATTTCCTACCCTGTTCTCCAAGAAGGCACATTTCCTACCATCTTCTCCAAGGTCGTCAGATTACACGGTTTACCCAAGACCATTATATCTGATAGAGATGTCAAGTTCACTAGTTACTTCTAGAAAATTCTCTGGATGAAAATGGGCATCAAACTATAATTCTCCACAGCCTTTCATCCAAACTGATGGCAAAACTGAAGTGGTCAATAGGAGTTTAGATAACTTGTTTAGATCCTTAGTGGGTGAGCACATTAAAGATTGGGATTCCAAACTCCCCACGGCTGAATTTGCTTATAACAATTCTGTAAACCGCTCCACTGGTCTGGGTCCTGTTGAAGTTGTATATGGGTACAAGCCTAGACAGTATTTAGATCTCATACCCATGTGTCCTAAGTATAGAATTTCTGAGTTTGCATCTTTATTTCCATCACATTTGTATGAATTACATAAAGAAATTATACGCCGAATTGAACAGAGAAGTGAAAATTATAAGCTTCATGTTGATCTTAAACGTAGATTCAAAACATTCGAAGTTAGTGATTCAGTGATGGTCCGGATTCGTTCATAATGGTTTTCGAAAGGTATCGTTAAGAAATTACATGCCAAAAGTGAGAAACCATTCAAAATAATCAAGAAAATCAATGATAATGCCTATGTGGTGGGTCTGCCTACAGACTTCGATATTATTTTCCTCTTTTAACATTAAAGATTTAGTAGTCTATGAAGTTCCAAAGTTTAACCCACCTAATCCACTACAAACTGAGTCTTGTGTGACCCCACCCTGTGAGAACACAAACCTTCCACTCCCAAATATTTACAAAATACCTATCACGAAGATAGTTGATATGATTCTGAGTGAAGAAATCATTTCCACAAAAGAGGGTGGACGAATAAGATATTTGATAAGGTGGAGAGGTAAGTCAGAGTCAGAGGACACTTGACTAGAGCACGAGGAGCTACAACGGATTGATCCAGATGCACTAGAGATTTATGAGAGCACTAGGGATGCATATTTGATGGAGTCGAGCTCTTTTCCACCCCGGGAGAATGATGAGACAATCCGAGCATGGAGAGTCTACCAGAAAAAGGGTCAACGATCTACAGCCACGATCACGCCACTTTATTTTTTAGCTAACATTTGTATTCAGTTTATTATTATATGCATATTTTATTTATTATCGCAATTTTTCTATTTTTACCCTCACTTGAGAGAGTAGTTGTTTGTGGCCCTTAGGGGCACTTTTGTCTTTTATCCTATCATTATAATTTGGCTATTTATAATCCCTCCTCTTCTTTGGAGAGGGTAATGAAGATTATGAAAATATTTTCCTGCACTTGTGTTTTGGCGAGTTGAGAGCTCTTGTGAGAGTTCAAAGTCCCTAGGTGATGGCAGTGTATTACCCACCTAGATTTAAACGAGAATTTGACTTTTAATAGGACACAATGGAGAAAAAGGATTCATGTAGCCGACCCCACGTAGTGGGATAAAGGCTTGATGTTATTGTTGTTGTTGTAAAATAGGATGAGTTATATTAAGAAAGTCCCTCCAATCAAGGCCCTTTAAATTTGAATTTAAATTAAAAAGATAATTTATATTAAATTCTCTTTTTTAATTTAAGTTGGCTTAGATGAGAATTTTAATTAAATCCCCTCCATTCTTATTTAATGCATGTGGGCCCCTCCCCTTTCCCTCTTGGCCGCCCCCTCCTCTCTCATCTAATTAATAGGCCATTAAAGCTCCCCAATTAAGCCTTCAATTTCCCAATCACCTCCACCCTGCTAGCTGAAATTAATTTCGAAAATATTGAATTTACTTCCCTCCCAAATTCAAATTCAAAATCTAAAATTAAATCCCCTCCTCCTTCCCCTCCAAATCTTACCTTTATTTCTCTAATTTTTTCCTCCCAAATTAATCCTGCTAAACCTGAAAGTTGTTGTCCATAAATTTCAGCAACATAATCCTGTTGTCCCGCCTCCCTTAATCACCGAATTGCTATCCGAGAGTATATCAAATTGATGTCCAACAATTTCAAAAATTCCTCTTCCTATCCTGTTGTTCGGAAGGTTACAATTTGTTGTCCAGAAATTTCAGCAAGTTCCCTGATGTCCTGCTATCTGCAAGGCCCCCGTTAGCTGTCCAGAAGTTCCAGCACCGTGTAAGTTGTTGTCCCCTCATGCATGGTTGATCCAGAACACGATCACGACTTTGTTTTTGACGATCAAGGGCTGATTGACATCCTCTGATCACTGTTCTTCGACATTGATCTTGAGAACGACCAATCCGTTGAAGACTACGTGGAGAGAATCCTCTTCTCCCTCCCCATCGCTATCGACCAACAACACCCTCCCCTTCAGTGGCGACTTTATTTCAAATCCTGACAAAGCTGAACTCTCGTCCAAGTCTTATCTCTTTTAAGTTTTCCCTCAATTGTGCATCATAAAGATTATGTAAGTTTTCTCCGTTTCCACCAATCATCAATGAGTTGAGTGAGAGATTTTACATAGTGACATTTCTGAATGTTAATTTAAAGATTTCTATCGAAAGCCTCACATTAAGCAAAAGCTGATTTGATTGGCTATTTTTATGTTCTAAATCTTTGTTGTGTAATATATTGTTTGATCTAAATCATTGTTTTATTGTTTTCAATCACTGTTTAAATCAAGGAAGTTGACTAATTGTTCTTGCTCTTTCAAAAGGCATATCGTTTCAAAAGCAAAACATCAACATACGCATTTAGTCCTATATCACACCTTTTCAATATTATTAATTACTAATACTAATGTTATCTTAACAAAAATTAAAAAGAAGTATTTAAACTGATTATTACCTAAATTTCTTGGCGTTACACTTTCATTATGATATAAGCTGTATCTTCTAAAAAAATTATTAAATTATACAAACTAATAGCCACGTGCAATTTGAGCGTACCACAGGCATCTAGCATAAAAGTACTGTGTTTGACTATCTCAAAGTATATAGCATAAAAATAATGTCAGTTTAAGAGCATTACCAGAAGATATTGAGAAGGTAATCATATCTGAGATAGCATAAGAAGTGACAGGCATGAAGCTTACCGTCTTTCCTTCCAAATGCATTTTTGCAGCCTTCACATCGACAGCTAAAAGAGCATCCGACTCCACCCTTCGATGGAAAACATACATACAAATCAAACAATAGATAGCATTAATAGTTCTGTGATAGTTAAAAGTAGATGCAAAACCTGATAGCATTCACAGTATTTCTTCAGGCAATTTGACTTCTTGCAATTACACCCTCTTTTATGCCTTGCAGAAGCTGGTGTCTTGTTGCTTTCTTCCTATTGGGCATCATAAAGAAGCTTATAGAATTACAAACCTAGCAAACATTTAAGAAAGGAGGAAATTAAAAAAATAAGCTTGAAATTTTTTATTCGTACCCCCATTTCCTGATCATGCTCAGATGTTCTAATAACTTTAGGGGCAAATGCAAGAGGATTACGAGATTCAATCTGCTTGCGGGTAGTAAGAACAGTCTCTTCATGGACGGGTTTATTTAAGCATCCTTGACATGAACATGGCTCAACACAATATACTCCAGCAGCAAAGCACTCACAGTATCTGCTCAAGATATATAAATGAGATATGAAGTAAATAGTCTCATTAAAAAAATAATTACCTTCAGCTAATAAACAATAAAACTTAGCTGTGAAGCAAAGATCAAAATTCCGCCAAAGAAAAGAAATCATACAAAACTTGAACTGAATCCACAAAGGAAACCAAATCAACAGGCATAAATTGACGATATTCACATAGCAGAGCTTGTAGGAGGCAAATGTGAAAAGGTTCTAAAATAGGTAAATCTAAAACGGATGATATTCACATAGAAGAGCTTCTAGAAGTGTAAAGAGGTGAAGGTTCTAAAAGAGGAAAATGACTAGTTCTTGTAAGCTACGCACATGCAATGAAAATTAACAAACTAATGGTCGACTTATTTGAACCCATTGAAGCCACGAGTAACTTAGAAACCATTCATTAAAAAAATTGCAGCCTGATTATTTTTTGTCCACTTGATTCAGAGGCAGAATAAGATACAGTTATTCTTGATAATGCATTATTGAGAATATAGTATGCCTCATGAAAAGAGAAGGTGGAGAAATCTGAGAGTTACAATTAAAAGACTTGGTTTAAAGGTTTTTTTAATCAGAAACCACAACAAGAGCTTGTGGGAAAAATCATCAAGTATTGATAGTTAGCTCAGCAAATATCAGCACTATTAAGTCAATATTTAAGCCGCGAAGTGGAACCATACAACAACAACAAACATTTTTCCCACTACATGTGGTCGGTTGCATGAATCCTTTTTTTGTATTGTGCCCTATTAAGAATCAAATTATCATTGAAATCTAATAAAAAAAAGTCATTCTAATATTTTCTAACCAAGCATTTTTAGGTATACCTAAACCTTTCTTAATATACACCATATGTAATACATCTACTCTCCTAACAAGATCATAAAAAGATCGATATTTTATGTGATCAAACTATCCAAGATAACTCTCTAATCTTATCTGCCACTGGAGTTACTCTAAATTGTGGAACCATGAAATAGGAAATTAATCTTATTATTATATCGGTAAGAAAGTAATTTTATGTAATTCTGAATTTAAGAGAATGAAAAGAAATGAAAAAACTTACAGCTTCAAGCATTTGGACTTCTTGCAGTTGCATCGCCTGCAGCCTTCATTTTCACCACTATTTTCTGTCTTACGCCTGTTTATCAAGGTTCAGGAGTTTCAACAGTATCCCCTTAGCTCACAAAGAAGAAAGTGAAAGTGAAGGGAAAAGGTGCCAGGTGGTATCCCATAGGACCCATACCTTTTCTTTTTAGGGCTAGTTGATTCTTCAATCCCAAGTGCAGGTATCAATGAAACATCAGAATGCACAGCCTGACTGTCATGAAGTTCACTGCCATTAGGATCAGGACTTTGGTGAGGATCTGAGAGCTTAAATGACTGGTTTTCTCCAGCTATTGCCGGGGAAAAAGGGCGCATAGAACAAGGCCTACTGATAAATTCTCTCCCAGGAGTCTTAGTTTTCTGTGAAATTGGCCTATCCTTCGAAGTTCTTGCAAGAGCATTCAAATGTAACCCAATACCAGGTAAAACATATGGGACTGGAGTTTTAGAGGTCTTTGAAGACACTAGCTGTCGATTTTCTGAATTAGGTTTTGCATTGATTGGCAAACTAATAGATGGAGGAGCATTAGAGTTGTTATGAATATTCTTTTTAGAAACTCCAGCCGCCTCAAAAACAAGGCAACGCCTTCTCACTCCCCGATGTTGCTGAGAGTCAACCTAAACAAAAGAGATGAGCTTTTAAACTTTCTATCCGACATAATTCAAAGAGAATGAAAAATGAAACAATAACCCATCAAAAAAATTATACAAACTTAAAATCCAACAAAAATAGGAAGAGACTAAGGGTACTGCAGCTGCTTAACTGTATATTGTTGCACTTAAGTAATTCTTTTGAAAGAAGTTGCGACTATTATATATATTTTTCCTTTTGAACAAGTCTATCAACAAGTTCGTATAACTATCACACTCTAGTCGATCTAGCAGTAAAAAATTGTTTCTCATTATAACTCAAAAACAGCATGAAAGTTGCAGCTAAATATAAATGCAGCTTCGATTTGAAAAACAAAAGAAAAGAAAAAGCACACCGAAATGAATTCTAAACTTCAAATGTCAAGTATTATAAGGGTATTTCATAATGTATTTATAAATCAAATGGAGTTGAAGGTTCTGAGTTATGAGGTATTAAACGGACTATAGTGACTATTCAAAAAACATCTTAAAAAGCATCAAAAGAAGAAATATTTAGTATTTTCTTTTTCAAACTTTTTTTTTTCTTTTTCCTTCAAAGATTTGCTATCAAATTGAAATATTTACAATTTACTTATTATTTGCATCAAGTGGAAAACTAAATGCCATAAATCATCAAACTTAAGCAGTGACGACACAAGTTAAACCAGAAGATAGAAACATTAAGATTTTTGCACCGTATCTATTTTGTATGAAAAGGATATTTTATGGTATCACATAAACCTTCCCCAATGTGTTGCTAAAAATATACTGCAGAAATTGTGGGACATAAAACCTCAATAAATCACTTCTAATATGGAACAGAGCAATGTGAAGCATTCCACATTTGCAATTCTTTCACTAAATACATTTGGGCACCGGATAGCGGAGTGATTTGGCAATTAGTTATTTTATCAAGTACTTCATGTTTATCATGTCATATCAGCAGGATGAATGAAATAGGTCAAATACTATGATGCACCGACACTCCGCTTAAAGAGGGTATGCAGTGTCGGACAAGGACACGCTTTGGACACGGCATGGACACGTGTCCGACACGGCATTGGAGTGTCGCAATTTAAAAAATTAAAATCGGACACGCGTGTCCGGTTACTAAATGAGGTATCGCTAGGTACATGCTCGGTATCACTAGGTACATGCTCGGTACCGCTCAGTACATGCTCGGTACTGCTAGGTACATGCTCGGTACCGCTCAGTATATGCTCGGTACTGCTCAATATATTCTCGGTACCGCTAGGTACATGTTCGGTACTGCTAGGTACATGCTCGGTACCGCTTAGTACATGCTCGTTACTGCTCAATATATGCTCGGTACATGCTCGGTACTGTTAGGTACATGCTCGATACCGCTCAGTACCGCTAGATACATGCTCGGTACCACTCGGTATCTTCTCATACAAACAAACAACTTACGAACTTTAAAAACAAGCAGAACTTCAAAATTACTCTTACAATAAAATTTTGTTATGGGGGCGCTGCCCCCGGAAACCCCCGCAGGGGCGCTGCCCCTTGACCCTGCGACCTTGCAGATCGGCCTGGACGATCTCCAATCGGCCCGGACGATCCTGGGAAAATGTCACTTTTCCCAGCAGCTACAGCAACAGCAAAGGAACGAGGTCTCACAATCAACGAGTCAATATAATTGGTATCCATTTAAGACCTTTGAAATATCAGGCTGCTTCACTCATGAATAGATGAGGGATGCTCTGCATGAGTCAATTATACAAAAAACCGGCAATACATCAGAGGTAGATTCTATTAAAATGATGAGCAGTCGAGGAACGAGGGCGATTTGAATTATTATTTTCTAAACAAGAAACAAATGTTTCCTTAACAGAAAAAACTGTGCAATTACAAACAAATAAGACAGTTTCCTTAAATCTCCTCTCTAACTCTCATATGCCTTGAGACTTCCCCTTAGAATTCTCCTAAAACAAATTTCTCCCTACTTATCTACAACTCTATTGCACCAATCTAGCCATGTTTGCTCTTATATGGCATTCCTTTATATAGACAGTGAATGTTAGTTACAAACACAAATACAAAATTCATAAGAATAAGATGTAAACTCTATTACAAAAGTTCATAAGCTAAAGCTTCCAAATGTTACAAGGAGGTCAACTTCAGACAGTTGGGGTGAAGCTAACATTGTAACTATTTGACAACATTATTCTTGACCACAAAGCTACTCTACTCATGAGTTCCTCCCAAATCTTCTCAGTTTCAACCAATTTCTCTCTGTTAAATACCAGTCCTCTCGACATTCCACTGCAGCTTCCCAATCCTTTGTTGGCCATCTACTTGACTTCTCAACAAGTCAATAGATTGCTATATCACCCCCACTTTAGTTGGTTATCCTACAAAAAATCAAAGAAAAAGAAACTCGAATCAAAAGCCCCCAAAATCGCTAAAACTCCAGGACACCCTTTGCCCTTCATGTCTCGTGCAAATTGAAATTAGACCCAACTAACTGAATCCTCCCAACAACTTTGTCCTAACATGTGAAGTCCCTTGCACACCGCTTTTAATCACATTTTAAGGAGATGGTAACAAGGACATCACATAGTCACCTCCCCTTTTTCCATCTCCAAAAACTAGTCACCTGCAAGCTTTCCTCTCCATCACAATCATAACCAAGTACAACCATGGTTGCGAGTCCACTGCTTCACCTACTTCAACCAAGAGCCACCACAACCATAAGCTGTCACAATCCAACCCAATATAACCCACAGACATGATAGGTCATATCGTGTTAGATGATGACAGATCAAGCCCAACATCTAATTTGAAGAACCTTTCAGATTTTTTAATTATTAAAAGATGGCAGAGCTACTAATTAATTGCCAAAAAATAGAAATTGCTCATCCACAAGTTTCCTTTTCATTCATCTTAAATATATACATAACAAAATCTCTACAATACAATACATGGCTACAAACAGAAACAAAAAAAACAGAAAATAGCCATGGCTATACAAAATTAGAAACCATTCAAATACTTATACAGACTCGGACTATCAGAACCTGCAATCCCAGCTGTTGAACTAGCTTCATAGCCTTGCACTGACCTGAAAAGAATGCATAATAGGTGAGCCAACCCAACTTAGCAGGTCACACCCACCAATCTAGTTTTTCAATATTTAACCCAAATTTATCTAACTGAAATTAGAGAAACTTTGTATAAGATATAAATAAACAAGCACTAATATATCAAAATAGAAATTAACAAATTCCTCCCATACTCTTCTAACTCTCAGTGCTAGCATATCAAAAAATAGACCCCTGTAAATTCCAAATACTTCTTAGCACATCAAATATTCAAAAATTTAAGCCATTGTAACTCCCGGTGTTTTCAACACAATAGATATTCATCCCAACATCAGAATCAAAGCCATACATGGGGTCCTGGTTGGGTACCCATTGGGTACACATGCTTTACTCGGATGGGATTTTCCCACCCACGCCCACCCATGGTGACTTTCGGGATGTTATACTCACCCACTTTTCATACTTTTTAAACTCAATCTGCCACGAACTGATGGCCTTGAAGCTTATTTCCCTTTGCTCTGATTGCAAACTTTCAAGCCGCATATTAGAATTTATCGTAGTCGCAGTGTGGTTAAGTGTTGCACACTACGTAGTGAGGATTGCAGTAATATAAGATATACGGTGATTAACATTATAAATCGATTTATCCCCCGTTGTTGAGTACCCACCCATACCCACCCACAAGGTCATGGGCGTACCCATACCCGGTTCTGAATTCAGAACTCCTCAAAAATCATGCACTAAAGCAAATAAACACATGTATAGTTGCATTTCAATTAAAAAAAATCATCATAACAGAATATTATAGAGTGCGAAATAAGTATATTTAAGTATTGACATAAGTTATTCGTTGTTTAGGGTTTCAAATAAGTGCTCCTTGGTGTTATTTCATTGTATCACGAAGAAGCATAGTTTTGATTGTCATGCCTCAAGATAGATAATTTTTATTCATTAGAGGATAAGCATAAACACTGTCGTTGACAGGTCCCAAGTCCTGGATGAGAAAAGTGGAGAGTTACGTTAGGTAGTCGACAGCCAACGTAAAACTTGTCGAATAATCATAACATTAATCTTTTAAAAAATTGTGTTACTGCTAGGGCATCCCCTGGAAGCGACGTGATGTATGGCTTGAATATAGAGACAAATGTGCAAGGACTGCTGCACCGGCGCTCAAGTGCAATAATAAATAGGTAAGGGTTCCCACATCAAGGATGGATGTAGGCAAAGAAGCTAGTCCATGAAACTAAAATTAGGATAGGAACTTGGAATATAGACTCTCTTACAGGAAAATTAATGGAATTAATAAATATTATGATTCATAGGAAGATAAATATTTTGTGCATTCAGGAATCTAAATGGGTTGAAAAGAAAGCTAAGAAGATTAATAGTTTATGATATAAATTATGGTATTCATGTAGAAGTCGTACTAGAAATGGTGTAGGTGTGGTTATAGATAAAAATTTGAAGGATAATGTTATAAAAATAAACAGAATTGGAGTAGAATTATAGCTTTAAAAATTGTTGTTTATGCTAAGATTATTAATATTATAAATGTTTATGCTCCTCAATAGGTTTGGATATGAGTCAAAATTAAAATTTTGGAATGACTTAGAAGAATTAATACAAAATATACCTCTTGAAAAAAGAGTTTTTATTGAAATATATTTAAATGGACATGTAAGTAGAGAGGTAGATGATTTTAAAATCATTCATAGTGACTATGGGTTTGGAACGACAACTGAAAGTGGTAAGACTATATTAGATTTTCTTTAGCTTATGATTTCTTAATAGCTAATACCTTACTTAAGAAAATAGATTAGCATTTTATCACTTATAAAAATGGATATAATAAAACTCAGATTAATTATTTTCCTATAAGAAAATTAGATCGTTTAGATTGCAAAGATTATAAAGTTATTCCGA